TAAAAATAACAACAACAACAAAAGGCTTCGGGACAAGCCATACCGACCCTGTCCACAGACACTATGCTCCAAAGCCCCCATCCAAATTTGCCGATTGATGTCTTGAACTCAAAATCGCATCATCTTTTCTCGCGAACTCTCACCCACCAACATCTCCAGACACTCCTGATAACTTTTCCAGGTTCTTCTACCGACTTCCCATTCAGCAGCCATTGTTCGCATTTCCCGCTAACCTCTCCTCCAATCAATCACGCTCCTGGTCACAATCATTCTATCCTCCGCACACAAACCCCCTATCCCTCTCATTACCACAATTGCGGCAGCATTAACAGCCCGAAAGCCAAAAGCCAAAAGTCAATCCAAAAGTGTCCGTGGTCCGTGCAATCAACTTCCACTCACCTACAAGTACACCGTCAGCCAGTGAGCAGTGACCCAGTGACCAACCCCGTGACCAACCCTATTGAACCCCATGCCCCCATGCCCGATCAAAACTTGCCCAAGTCGCCCAGTTTGACCTAACGCGCCCACCCAACCCCCAGCCAATCTCGCTTGCGATATCCCAAGAATAACTCTCCCAGCCAATCGCAACCATCCATTAACGAGGATTCTCCACGAAAACGCAGACCAAAAGGGGAAGGTTAGGCGAGTTAGCTAGTCAGCGAGCTTAGACCAGAAAGCCCAAACGGAGACAGGTGGATCAAGGGGGGGTCTGCCGGTCCGGAGCTTCGATTTGGGCTACGAAGATACGAAGCTAATTCAAGGCTTCCAGCTAACGAGCGACCAAACCTGCAAAAGACTCGAAGAAGAAGAAAAACTACTCCGAGAGTCCGACTATTCCTGGACTATTCCTGTCGAGAGCGTATTTCCGGTTTGGAGATCGAAAACCTGGACATACGGTACTGGAAATCCGATGTCCAAGGAGACATCCAGTGGTGGGAAGCGAGCAAAAGAAACCGGTGAGAATTTAGAGGTGGTGAGTATCGGAGTTTTTGTCAACGAGTTCAAAGTTGAACTGGAGTTGTGTCAGCAGTACTGTGAAGGGCTTTGGACTCCAGTTCGCTCGAGTACGCCATGATGGTTCTCGTGAACCTTTAGGTCAATGACTTTCAGGCTGACGAAGTGACGAAGTGACGAAGCTCGAGAAGTCAAGAAATGGCGCAAGAACCTACTCCTCCACTGAACCTGTCGACCCGACCCACTGGGGCCACTGGTGCCACTGATCATCGTCTTGAACTGGGGACCTCCTGGTGAAAAGCTGGAAAAAGCTGGATGGAAAGCACAGGTGTTATGTCCATGTTCAACAGGGTCCGCTACGCCTTGTGAAGCTTTTGAATGGACCCCTGAAGTTTCTCACTCCAGGGCGTGGATGTGTGATTAGTGTGTGCCTCACTCCATGGGCGTGTACACTCGTAGTCCCAGTCTTTCACGGGCGAACATTTCACTCACCGTCCCCGGAACCTGGCTTGTGTAGTACGTGTACGTACTGTACTAGCATACCGGGGCCACGGCACCGGGGCTACAACACCGGAGATGCTAAACGCGGGTTGGGTCTCAATGACAATGAGTCAATGGGTCTCTCTGGCCCAAGTCATCAAGGGACCTACCCAGGACCAGGCCACAAGCTCGAACGGGCTGATTTGATGCTGCTTTAGCTTTGTATCTCACCATCATCAGACTTGCGCGATTTTGGGGGGTTTACAGATTTGTATAATGGGCTTGATGCTTGATTCTGCGTGATGGTGATGAGTGGCATGTGCGGGTGGTGGATAGGCGTGATGGTGTTTTACGTACCTACCTCCTCGTTGCGGTGGCAATCTATTTGCCATGTCAGTAAGATGCGTCATCGGCGACCTCCTGGGTCGCATTCTCTACAGCGAGACACCAGAGAAGCAGTACTGTAGCTCTGACAAACGTTTTCCACGTGGTGATTTCCACGGTATCAGAAGCGTGACTTAAGCTCTAGTCGCGCGTCTATCAAGACGACTTCATCATCATGGAGTCGAGGTTGGATCTCCGGTGTGACCGGAGGTGATGGTTGAAATGGACACTGAAGCTCGAGGTATCTTTCCCTCCAACACTCTTGGCTGGTGCTTTGAGGCTTGTGACCCCAAGTGCCGCCCCCAGGTCGGAAGGCGTCCCCACAGTTACCGGCTGAGAGGTTGAGACTTGTTCACAGCCTGGTCGAAATGGTTGCCGCGAATAGCGCCCAAAAGACGCGATAACCCTTTCATGGCGATGTTCCTTCATCACGGCAACTGTATTGTTGTCCCATAACGCAGTCACTTGCATCCAGCAACCCTAAACCAGCTTCACACGCATTAGCGGTCATGTCAGTCATTGATCGAGAGGTCGTAAGTGAGTCGCTGCCATGGCAAAAGGTAAGAGGTGATGAGCAGTGAGGCAGGCAGGCAAGTTGACGGATGAGGGCAAAAGGAGTCGTCTTCCTGGGCAGTCTGACCTGTGTCCACGAGCTCGACACCCCCTTTGCTCACCTCGCTTTCCGGTTCTGGCTCCTGGATAGGCCTGATGTTTTCTAATCACACAGCAGAATTCTGCCCAACACGGCAAGCAGTCAAACTCTTTCGTTGCCTTCAAGTCATCGTCGTCCGAGAACTTGCGTCGAAGAGTCCACTGGTGGACCAAAGCAAGGCAACGGCCTGTTCTTTGCCGTCGGGGAAGTCTCATACCAAAAGAGAACCCGTACCCATCTGCTCAAAGCTGAGACCTGGGACCTGAATCGGCATTCGACTGCAGCAACACTTGAGGCCGTCTGGCACTCGACATTCGCGATCCGTCACTGGACGGCCGGACAGTGATACCCAAGTTCCAGTGTTCCCACGCTCCGGATCCCAGGCTCAGATCCCCTCATTGCCGCGTTGTTTGTCTTGCCTGTAAGGCGGGACATTCCGCCCTGTGTCTCCGCCCTGTTTGTCTTACCCCCTCTGCTGGGACTGACTGTGAGACCGTAGGATTTTCTGTTTCCCTCTCTGTCCCAACCCTGGAGCCATGACCCATTGGGCTCTCACGTTCTACCACCTGCTTAGGAGGGTTAAATGGAGTGACCCACTTGAGCCCATTCGCTTCCTTAATCTCCCCCGGCTCTCGATGGGCTTCTCCCCGGTCCACTTGGGCCATACATGGGAATCACTTCCCATGTAACTATCCTTGCCCCGGAGAATTTCCTAAACACCCTCGTCAACGTTAAAATGCTCAAGAGGGTCTAATCCGAGTAACTGGACCCTCGATCTGTCCAGTCAGAGTGCCCGACCACTACGCAGCAAGCCTGTAATGCCTGCAAAGAGCAAGGCCAAGGTAACAAGGACTGAGTTAGCGCCATCTACCGTGGCCCGCAGCTTACCACGGGGGTCCAGGTTCCCATGCACGACCATGCTTGGTCCAATATTGCTGCACGCCCCGGTGCAGTTCAGACCTGTCATCACCCACATCTGATAACCCTCCTCATCTGTACCATCCCCATAACCGACACAAAAAGATTGGCCAGAAGATGAAGATGAAGGTGGCGAACGTGACAAGATGGGAAAGGCGGATGTGGATGTGAGTGACAGTGACAACCCTCCCGCACATCCTCCTAGGGAGAGACACGGCTAGGCGAGTGAGGGTTCCCCGTACCTGTAACCTAGCCCCTCTCAAACCAGTCGATGGTCCCAATCCATTCTGGTGGGTTGACAGGAAGGCATGCAGTGCGTGCACGCGTGTAGCGCCTGTCTGGGGAAGATGTTATTGGCGCCGCGATCATGAAATTCCCACCCTTCCAACCCTCACCAGTGTGATAAAAGAAGCAAATTGCAAACAATTCGAATCCTGAGGCGAGTCATTGCATGGAACACAACAACCATGTCGTCTTCATGCCTCTGACCCCTTATACGGCAGGCAAGCATCGAGAACCCCCCAAAAGGTATCGTGATCGTCATCGGATTTCATGACTCTTTGATGGGCAGAGTCCGACGAGCTTCGGCCATCTCTTCTCCAAGGACCACGGAAATGCGTGAATGGGTATGGAGAACTGGATGGGATGTTCCGTATGATGCCTTTGCAATCGTGAGTATCCCAGCTCCACCTCACCTTCCCAAACAAGCAGCATTGGCAGCCGACTATTGATTGATGCGGTCCCGTAGAGGTGGTGTAGTATTGTGTAGTCGGGTTAGAAGCCCCAAAAGAGACAGGCTACCATGCCTGACTGAGGTCGAGCCGGTCGGCCGGCTTCCAGGGCAGGGCAAGGGGACCCCCATTGCCAAGCGAGATCTACAAGTATGAATCTGCCAAGATGGAGCCTTGCCTGAACGTGGTGTCGGGGTCTTTTTCATCCCGGGATATACGATGGAAATCGGTGGTATGTGAGGTATTTCTTTGGTTGGTATACGATGTTCCCCTGTAGGCCTTTGGAGATCAGGATGCAAAAAGTCCTTGCTGAGCTGAAAGACGCGTGGGAAGCCTGTACAAATGGACGTCAGTGAGGGACTCTTTTTTCTCTACAGTC